TGGTGCTTGTGATCGTGCAAGGATGAGAATAATGTAAGTAACAAATGCCCACAATATAAGGTCTCAGTCACTCTTTAAGATTGGAGGCATGCACTTCGTGGCGCAAAATTGTTTGGATATGATTAGTTTTTTATTGCCAGCTTATTATTATATATATGAGATAGAGCAGCTTTGTTCTTTCGTGATGACGTCTCCATTAGAAGGTTTCTAGTTTATCCCTTTCTATAAGAACTGACAGAGATGTGTGACTTTTAGGCATTGAATTTGAATATTACAGCTTTTTGCTTTATTGATTCATCTGCGTTAGCTTGCGTGTGCGCGTCCAAGACAGCCGGTGATTATTCTAGTATTGGTATTACGTACGTTTCACATGCAGTCATTAAGTTTAGCCGGATGCCTTAGCGAGTGCCCGTGTTAGGTAGCCTAATATTTCAAGGCCTTTTTCTCAGAATAAGTCCCTTGTTCGTTCTATCTTAAATCAGATGTGACGACAACACTACACCCTCAAAACGTTTACACCCTAAAAGGTGTAAAACAGTTGTAAGCTATAAAAGCACCCATGTGAACACCCTTTTTATGCCCGATATTTAAAATTTCAGGTGTTCCTAAGTAAAACCCCCTCAAATCAGCCCATTCACACCTTTATATTTGGGGTGTTATGAACAAGGCTACAAATGATTGATTGATATGTGGGGTTTACCATCCCAAAACCACCATATGATTACGAGAGACGCTGTAGTGGAGGGCGCTGGAACTTTCGACCTCCTGGCGTTCATTAACGTGCACCCAAATCTGAGCACACGTGCCTATAAGGCTACAAATGCACGACATTTTCGGGCAGTGTTGCTCATACTGTTAGTATACATTAACCATCTTGATACCAGCAAGGCTCCTACTACTAGCTTTTTGCGAGTCTAGTAATAAATTGAAGCAGGAATTAATGTAACCGAAACGCAGTATTCATCAATGAAGTATGTAAACTACTATAATATGGAGGATAGAATATGAGCGCCACTTGTTCGATAGAGTAAGGGCTAATTCTCCTATATCTGTTTCTTTCATCTGTGTCATTTGCGTGATTAGTCAACACTCACAGTGTGCACTGATTTGCCTGAACATGGTAGTGTTGCGCACATTAGTGTAGCCATGCATAGAACACTCCCCCCTCCCCCCGTCCCCCATCCATAAGATCGAAGCTTTTAAAGCTGGAGATAAACCGTTAACCACCTGCAAAAACAACAGTACAGTTGTTTAGTCATAACCACCACCTTAGCATGACTGCATCTGAATCTGCATCGCCACACCTATTCGTAATTTTTGACAGTTGGTTCGTCACATCGCGCAAAGCGTCAACAGAGCCAGAAGGAGTGGCCACAGACCGAGTAGCGGTGATTTCTTCTAGTTAATTCACCTTGGTACTCAAACTTTTATTTTCGCTGTCTGCTGCTTTCATTTTGTCCGACATGGCAGAAGGGCGCCAGCATCCGCACTAGCCCCATCAGCAATACGAACAGCATTGGCTTTTTCAAGCGTTTCTACTTTGCGCTTTAGCTGTTTAATTTCAATCTCGGTGGTAACATGTTTTGAGATCAAAGCTTTGTCACTTTCCTTTAGATCGCCTTTTTCAGTAAGGGCTAGAGCGAATGCGTCGGCCTCCGTCTTATTCATAGGACCACGATTTGATTCCACATGAACGGCCAGGATTAATAAAAGCTCATGAATGGCACCACATACGTACATGCAGGATAACAACCGCTTCAAAACATTCCTAAGCTTTAGAGTACGACACCGCAAGGAAGCAACAGTTGACACTTCTTATGCAAGAAGCTATATTCAAGTAACGAACCTGAAACAGCAAAGGCCGTAAGCATGGCATCCTTCCAGCGGTGTCGAGCCCAAACCAGCAAGTCGCAGACTGACGCTTATATAGGGTACTGCACTGCCCAGCCATCGTGACGGAAGAGCCCTGTTGCCAGGCGAGAAGGTCGTTTCCATCCATGTTTGGAAAACCGAGCGTGACCGGTCGCCATTCCAGAGGCCAGGAATTGGGTACCAGCCAAGACGAGCCAGAAACTCCGCTGTGCGCAGCACAGCTGAGGTCGGTCAGCCAAGAGGTGTTTCCTTTTCTCGAGCAGGTGAAATCATTCACTACGCGAGGAATGGTTGTCGAACACGGTGAAGTTGGACGGGAGCAAGGCGCAGCAACCGAAGCAGGCCAGGAAGAGCCCAGCAGCCCACAGCATGTCGCCCAGGTAAGAGTGAGCTGAAACAGCAAAGGCCGTAAGCATGGCATCCTTCCACCGGTGTCGAGCCCAAGCCAACAAGTCGCAGACTGACGCTTTTATATGGTACTGCGCTGTCCAGCTATCGGTGATAGAAGAGTTATGTTGCCAGGCGAGAAGTTCATTTCCGTCCATGTTTGGAAAAGCGAGCGTGACGGTCGCCATTCGAGTGGCCAGGAATTG